AATAGGATGCATAGAGGGCTTATTACCTTTGCGATATTCTTCGAAGGATGGATAACCTAAATTTAACCTTGAGAAAACATCAGATAAACTCCAAATGAGGGAGATTCTACAAAGTAATTGACCAGTATTCCTCCAAAGTGTCAAGATCATGAAATACAAGGAAAGGTGGAGGAGCTATCACAGATGGGAGAAGACATGGAGATCTGACAACTCAATGCAGTGTGGGATCCTGAGTGTCTCCTGAGGAGGAAAGGGGAAGTCAGAAAATTAGATAGACAATTAGTGACAATTTAATAAGCTCTGTCAATTATATAGTAGTATTGTCTGTATGTTAATTTCCTGGTGGGTTTTCTTTTTTTTTTTTTTTTTTGAGACAGGGTCTGGCTGCGTTATCCAAGCTGGGGTGTGGTGGTGACATCTCAGCTCACTGCAACCTCTGCTTCCTGAATTCAAGCAATTCTCCTGCCTCAGCCTCCCGCATAGCTGGGATTACAGGTGGGTGCCACCACACCCAGCTAATTTTTGTATTTTTAGTCGAGACAGGGTTCTATCGTGTTGGCCAGGCTAGTCTCAAGCTCCTGATCTCAAGTGATCTGCCTGCCTTGGCCTCCCAAAGTGCTGGGGTTTCAGGTGTGAGCCACTGCGCCTGGCCAATTTCTGATTTTGATCATTGTACTGTTGGTGATGTAAGACATCAACACTTGGGAGATTTGGGTGAAGAATTATGGGAATTCTTTGTACCACTTTTCCAAGTTATTTCCAAGTCTGAAATCATTTCAAAATGAAAAGTTGAAAAAAATTGAGGGTCACAAAGTGTACATAGTATGCTTCTTTTCCATAAGAAAGTGAGAGAAATAAGCATTTATATTTTAATTTGCTTGTATTTGCTTATAAAAGCACTGGAAAGATAAATGAGAAATGAATAAAAACTGTTACTTACCCAGGACCAGACGAGGAATGTGTGGACGGGGCAGAGTGAGAGTGAGACTTCTCTACGTTCATCTTTTTAAATTATGTAAATGTATTACCATGTCTCAAAAACCAAAACCGCTAAAAACTAAATCACCTTATAGTTCATAAAAGCAAAGATATTTTATTTCATAGTTTCTTACAATGAAATAAATAGTAATTATTTTATGAGGTATTTACTATTTTTATATCATTACCATTTTAGACATGAGAAAGTGAGGGCACGTATGTATACCTAACTTATTCAAAATCATTAGCTAATGAGGCCAGGTGCAGTGGCTCACGCCTATAATCCCAGCACTTTGGGAGGCCGAGGCAGGCAGATCACTTGAGGCCAGGAATTTGAGACCAGCCTGGGCAACATGGTGAAACCCTGTCTCTACTAAAAATACAAAATTAGCTGGGCGTGGTGGTGGGTGCCTTTAATTCCAGCTACTTGGGAAGCTGAGGCAGGAAAATCACTTGAACTTGGGAGATGGAGTTTGCAGTGAGCTGAGATCATGCCACTGCACTCCAGCCTGGGCAACACAACTTTGGGAGGCCAAAGCGGGCAGATCACTTGAGGTCAGGAATTCGAGACCAACCTGGGCAACATGGTGAAACCTCATCTCTACTAAAATACAAAAAGTAGCTCAGTGTGGTAGCGCAAACCTACAATCCCACTACTTGGGATGCTGAGGCAGAAGAATTGCCTGAATCCTGGAGGTGGAGGTTGCGGTGAGCCGAGATCGCGCCATTGCACTCCAGCCTGGGTAACAAGAGTGAAACTCTGTCTCAAAAAAAAAAAGACTTCGTGGCTTAAACAACAGACATTTATTTCTCACAGTTCTGGAAACTGGGAAGTCCAAGACAAGGGTATTAGTAGACTCAGTCCTCGATAAGGTCCCCCTACTTGACTTCCAGGCAGCTGCCTACTTGCCATATCCTCGCCATGTGACTCAGACACTGGTTTCCTATTTTTAGAAGGGCACTGATCCCAACACGAGGACCCTAGCCTCCCGACGTCATCTAAACCTTAAGGACCTCCCAAAGGTCCCATCTCTTAAACCTATCTCATTGAAGGTTAGGGCTTCAACATAGGAATTTTTGGAGGACACATTTAGTCCATAACAGTTTCCACCTTCCAACATACAAACTTTTAAAAATCTGTGTACTTAAAGTCTACACTTTGTGCTGTAAAATTCTATGGGTTTTTTGTTTTTGTTTTGTTTTTTGAAACAGCCTCACTCTGCTACCCAGACTGGAGACAGTGGCACTATCTCAGCTCACTGCAACCTCTGCCTCCTAGGTTCAAGCAGTTCTCCTACCTCAGCCTCCTGAGTAGCTGAGACTACAGGCATGAGCCACCACACCTGACTAATATTTTGTATTTTTAGTAAAACAGGGTTTTGCCATGTTGGTCAGGCTGGTCTAGAACTCCTGACGTCAGGTGATCCGCCCGTCTCAGCTTCCCAAAGTGCTGGGATTACACGCATGATCCACTATACCCGACCAAATCACTAATCTTTTATCTGTCTCTATAGTTTTTGTTTTTTCTAGAATGACACTATTGAAACCATATGATATGCAGCCTTTTCAGGCTGGCTTCTTTCACTTAGCAATATGCACCTAAGATTCCTTCATGTCTTTTCATAGCTGATGACTCATTTATTTTTAATGCTGAATAAGATTACATTGTATGGACATGCCATACCATACTTCATTTGTGTTTTATTTGTATGTATACTTTTTTTTTTTTTTTTTTTTTAGAATGGGGTTTCACTCCGGTTACCCAGGCTGGAGTGCAATGGCGCGATCTCGGCTCACCGCAACCTCCGCCTCCTGGGTTCAGGCAATTCTCCTGCCTCAGCCTCCTGAGTAGCTGGGATTACAGGCACGCACCACCATGCCCAGCTAATTTTTTTTGTATTTTTAGTAGAGACGGGGTTTCACCATGTTGACCAGGATGGTCTTGATCTCTTGACCTCGTGATCCACCCGCCTCGGCCTCCCAAAGTGCTGGGATTACAGGCTTGAGCCACCGCGCCCGGCCTATGTATGTATACTTTTTGAGACAGAGTCTCACTCTGTCACCCAGGCTGGAGTGCAGTGGGTAGGATCTTGGCTCATTGCAACCTCCGCCTCCCGGGTTCAAGTGATTGTCCTGTCTCAGTTTCCCAAGTAGCTGGGATTACAGGTGCAAGCTACCATGCACGGCCTAGAAAACTTTTTTAAATAAAAATAATCTCTTTTCTTCCTTTTGTCATATGTATGTGTACACACATACAATCAAAATCATAAGCAGAATGTTTTTCTTTTCGTTTTTTGTTTTTCTCTGTAACCTGAGCCCAGGAGCTCCTTATTTCTTTTTTGTTTTCTTTCTTTCTTTTTTAAAATTGTGGTAAAATCTGCATAACATAAAATTTACCAGTGAATCTATTATTAAGCATACAGTTCAGTGCACCGAGTACATTTACATCATTGTGTAACCACCATCAGTATCCATCTCCAGAAAGATTTTCTCAGCACACCATGTTTACAACCTCCTCAATTTTATTAAGTACCTCTCCTTCAAATAGTAACAGGTGAAGAAAAAAAATGGAGGTACCAGGCAACCTCTGACTTCTCAGCTGCCACATTCAGTGGTAACAACCCCTTTTGAACAATCTCTTCCCATTTTATCATTCTTTGCAACTCCATAGCAATGTTGTTTTATGCAAACACAATTTAAAACAGAGAACAAATAGCTTGTGCCCTGCTGGTGTATAAAACCAAAGTTTGTAACAAGGTAACTATTTTATAGCCCTCCAAGCTCATTAAAATTACACTCTTGCTGTTGTGTTCCATCTTTTGGAAGGTATGTAATTAAGGTACATGGTGTGTGATCCGAAGAGCTCCCTTACCAGAGAATGTTTCGGCCAAATTCAGTGTGTTATGTTATGCTGTTGTTTTATATGTCCCTTAGTATCATACTTCTTAGCTGTCCACATCATATCAAATATAGGTCACTTTCCTTCCTAAAATGTTCTCTGCCATTTTTTATCAATTGAGGGCATTATAATTCTGAGATGTCTGACTTTTATTGCTGAATGGTTACTTCTTTCTCTGGTGTGAATTCATTAAGGTGCTAAAACATAAATTGTATTACGTTTGTGGGAGTTAGCTTTCATTTTTTCTTTGTTTTCTAAAAATCTTTTAATCCTATGAAAATAGGCCAGGCTGTCTTATTAAAGCAAGGTATCCACAGCTCCACTCTCTTCTGGGTTTAAGAATGTTCTGGAATATTGTAAGGGGGGAATGGAGTCCCCAGGAGCAGGAGAGGGGGGATGTGTAAAATCTCTGGGCACAAGTGGGTGTTCCCCTCCCAGGAGGCCACCAGGCGATGGGCTCACTGAAGGGAAGGGAAGGCCTCGCCAGGTAAGGAAGGCTGGTTGAGGCCCCGGTGCCTGCGTGCGGGGAAACCCGATTTTTTTCCTTTTTCTGTTTTAATGGCTTCTTCAGCATCGCCTTGCCCCACCACCTCCATAGCCTTCTCTCCCCCTAGTCTGGAATAAGAGCTTCTAGTCCCTCAGATCAAATCTCACAGGTGAGCCTCACATTGCCCAAACTTTTGTCTGGGGCTGGAGACCTCCAAGCCCGGAGGCTTTGGAAATGATCTACAACTGCTTTCTCTCCGCCTTCCGCCCTGTCTTGCTCCCCCTCCAGGCAGCTTGCAAGAGCAGAGGCTTGGAAAGGAGAGGTGGGGCAAGAAGTGCAGAAGGTGCGGGATTTTGTGGTTAACATTTCGAAAACATTGCCCAGCTGTGATATAAACAGGTGGATTTTCTCTGATAAAAAGAAAACACAGTCTGGTCCTGTGCTTAGAATATGGATCTGTAGAACAGTGGCCCATCTCCAGCCTCAAAGGATAATCTAAAAAGAAAAACAAAACAAGAGCGTTTGCCGCTGGGAAGCTTAAGGTCCTGTGAGGAAAATTCTATTAGAGCCAGGAGCACAATTCTGGCTGCCCGTTACAGTCACCTGGGAGAACGTTAAGAAATGCCAAAGCCCTGAGCTGTCTTTCCTGCGCCAAGATGCTTCAAAATTTTATTAAAAATATGTGGCTTCCCTTGAAATCCTACTATACCCAAGTTTACCAGGAGATTTGGGTAGGAATGGGGCTGATGGGCTTCATCGTTTATAAACTCCATGCCGCCGATAAAAGAAATAAGGCTGCGAAAGCTGCAGCGTCTGCTCGTGATCATCATTAACCAGCTTACTTGGAGTACCTGTGAAAGAAAACGTCGGTCTGCCTGTAAATTTGAGCAAGCCGTGTTAGATGGGCCACGTGGACCACCACTGTACACTTGTATGAGTACCGTTTACTTCATGGCATGAATAGATCTGTGAGATGCTCAAAAAAAAAAAAAAATGCCAAAAATAGAATGCCTAGGCCGCACCCCTAGAGACTTTGATTTAATTGGCCTTGAATGAAGCCCCAAACAAAGCTATTTTTTAACGTCCCCCAGGTACTGAGTGTAGGCGGAAACCAGGTTATGTTAGCACGACGTGCTCGCCACACAGGCGCAGCACGCACAGCGCCTGGGCGCACCACACTTCCAGGACCCACAGAAAAGTTCATTTTCTTTCAGAATCAGAAGAAAAAGAATAAACTTTTAGGTGGATGAAAATGTCTTAACATGTAATATTAACATATATTTCTATGTATCAATGCATTCATAAAATACAATTTCGGGGGCGAGGTTTGGTGGCTCATGCCTGTAATCCCAGAATTTTGGGAGGCCAAGGCAGGAGAATTGCATGAGGCCGGAAGTTTAAGACCTACCTGGGTAACATAATGACACCCGGTCTCTTCCAAAAATTTTTAAAAAATAAAATCACATTTTTCTTTTTAAATGAAGAAAGAGATCCACAAGTCAGAAGTGCACAGGCCCTACAAAAAACATAATGCAGGCCTGCATAAAAGAGACATGTGTAGGTCAGGCACGGTGGCTCACACCTTGTAATCCCAGCACTTTAGGAGGCCAAGGTGAGTGGATCACGTGAGGTCAGGAGTTGGAGACCAGCCTGGCCAACGTGGTGAAAACCTGTCTCTACTAAAAATACAAAAATTACCTGGGCATGGTTTTGCGTACCTGTAATCCCAGCTATGTGGGAGGCTGAGGCAGAACAATTGCTTGAACTCAGGAGGCTGAGGTTGCAGTGAGCAGAGATCGTGCCGGTGCACCCCCAGCCTGGGTGACAGAGTGAGACTTTGTCTCCAAAAAAGAAGGAAAACCGGCCAGGCACAGTGGCTCACACCTGTAATCCCAGCACTTTGGGAAGCCAAGGTGGGCGGATCACCTGAAGTCAGAAGTTTGAGACCAGCCTGACCAATATGGTGAAACCCCACCTCTACTAAAAATACAAAAATTAGCCGGACATGGTGGTGGGCGCCTGTAGTCCCAGCTACTCGGGAGGCTGAGACAGGAGAATTGCTTGAAGCCGGGAGGTGGACGTTGCAGTGAGCCAAGATCATGCCACTGTACTCCAGCCTGGGTGACAGAGTGAGACATTGTCTCACAAAAAGAAAAAAAAATTACATTAAGGGTATATGTTTGAATATTACTAAAAATTATTCTGTTCCTATTAAGATAGCACTGAAATATTCTCATGATGTGTACACCCTGCACTGGCAATAATGATGCCTAATTTTTCCCTTATCATTCCCCTGTCCCCTGCAAATGGTTCAAGGTAGGCTCTATCCTGCTTCATTGAGCTACGTACAAATTTTTCTGTGTTGCCTACTCAGACATTTTTGAGCATCTAGCCTTTCGTCCAAACACCCAGTGCCTTTCTTTTTAGTTTTGTTTTTGTTTTTTTTAGAGACGGGAGGGTCCCGCTTTGTCACCCAGGCTGGAGGGCAGTGGCATGATTTTGGCTCACTGCAGCCTTGAATTCCTGGCTCAAGGGATCCTCCCATTTCAGTCTTCTGAGTAGCTGGGACTAAAGGCATGCACCACCATTCTTGGTTAATTTTAAGTTTTTTTGTAGAGACAGGGTCTCGCTTTGTTCCCCAGGCTGATCTTGAACTCCTGGGCTCAAATGAATCTCCTGCCTCAGCCTCCCAAAGTGCTGGGATTACAGGTGTGAGCCTCCACGTCCAGCCTCCAGTGCTTTTCTAATGTTTGATTTAAAGATGGTCAGCCTAATTCCTGATATTTCAGAGACGCAGTGGATTGGAGGCCTCAGAGAAAAGGAAGCATTGGCCCTAAGAGATCTGGAGTGAATCTAGAGCCTCCTCAATGTGAGGCTTTTCCCCTGGGCTTTGCTGGCCCCTGTGGCCCCAGCTCAGTTCCATCCTGGCACCTCTGGCAAGCAGAGCTTACTATGGTTGAGTCACACAAACCGCGGCGGTCTCTCTCACTTTTCCCTTTTTCCAAACAGATACCCATATTTGAAAAGTCATCTTCCTCATATTGACACAAACTGCAGAGTCCTTTTGACAAGGGAAAGGCATGTGGATGCCAATCTCCATGTCCTTGAATTTCATGGAAGGGAACTTGTGTTGAAGGAGACTGAGGTATCAGGCAGGAGGGGACAGGTCATTGCTCATTCCACAGGTACAGGGCAGGGCTTGGAAAAGACAGTCACCTCCACTTGCTGGTTGCAAGACTTAAGCACACAGTTGGAGACTCAAAGGAAAATCACTCATCTGAAAACTCCTTGTGGCTGCCAGAGGCTCTGATGTCCCTTAGCTTCCGGCAGGAGCTGTCAAGGAGAAAGCCAACTTTGGTCTGAAATGAGGGAAGCAAGGCTTGGGATAATGATCCCTTAGATGCCTTTCTGTTTGAGGTCCTGCGTCTCTGTAGCAAAGCTCTGGTTCTGACACAGCCAGGCCTCAGTCTCCGCTTCTCTATTTATTTATCAATAATAAATAAGTTTATCCATTTTCTTTAGCCATAAACTGAGGATAAGAACCTGTACCTGAGGGGTTGTTCTGAAATTAATTTTCATTTTTTTAATTAATTAATTTATTTTTGAGATGGGGTCTCAGTTCTGTCGCCGAGGCTGGAGTTCAGTAGTGTGATCACGGCCCACTGCAACCTGTGCCTCCTGGGCTCAAGCAGTCCTCCCACTTCAGCCTCCTGGGTAGCCAGGACCACAGGTGTACACCGCAAGCTGGGCTAATTTTTGTATTTTTTGTAGAGACGGGGTTTTGCCATGTCGCTCAGGCTTGTTCTGAAATTTAAATGTTGAATATGAAATTCTTCAAAATGCCCAAGAAATCCAAGTTTCCTCCTGTAATCACTGTTACCTTGACTGTAGGGCTATAAGTTGAAGGAGTCACCAGTTTGTTGACTTCAATCTGCTCTTGCACAGACCAACTCAAAAAACCTTACACTTAGGCTAGGTGCGGTGGCGCATGCCTGTAATCCCAGCATTTTGGGAGGCCGAGGTGGGTGGATCACAAGGTCAGGAGATTGAGACCATCCTGGCCAACATGGTGAAACCCCATCTCTACTAAAATACAAAAAGTTAGTTAGCCAGGCGTGGAGGCACACACCTGTAGTCCTAGCTACTCAGGAAGCTGAGGCAGGAGTATCGCTTGAACCCTGAAGGCGGAGGTTGCAGAGAGCTGAAATCAGATCACTGCACTCCAGCCTGGCAACAGAGCAAAACTTCGTCTCAAAAAACAAAACAAAATAAAAAACCCATACACTTAAGTTCTATGAAAATAAATTGTATCTACTTCTGCAAGACTACATTTGAGTTTACATTATTTCAGCCCTAGCCACCAAAGAGTCCCAGTTTCTGCTGTTGCTTTAGACATATCCAAGAAAAATTTGTTCTGAAATGAGAAATCCCTTACTAGAAGACTCTGGCAGGCTGAAATGAACAAAAATGCAGAATTTTAAAACATTTCTATGGTCTCATTTGTTGTCCAACTGGTCTGAATATAATCTGAGAACATATCACTCAAGATGGCTTAGATCATCTCTAGCCAAATCATTCAAACCAAAGAATGGTTGATTAATTTGCTACAAATAAAATGCAACCCAGAGTCAAAACTTTTGAAATGTTTCAAGGTTTTTTTTTTTTTTCCTTTCTCTTTTTCTGAGACAGGATCTTGCTCTGTCACCCAGGCTGGAGTGCAGTGACATAATCTTAGCTTATTGTAGCCTCGTGCTCATGGGTCAGGTCATCTTCCCATCTCAGCCTCCTGCGTAGCTGGGACTACCCGTGTGAACCACCATGCGTGACTACTTTTAAAATATTTTCTGTAGAGGCAGGGTTTCACTATGTTGCCCAGGCTGGTCCTAAACTCCTGAGTTCAAGTGACGTGCCTTCCTCAGCCTCCCAAAGTGTTGAGACTACAGGCGTGAGCCACCATACTTGGCTAAGGTTTTGTTTTAAATCTTGGAATTGGACTTTGCCCAGATCCTGACTTTGCCCAAAGCGTGGTTCAAGCGGGTCTTTTCGATTTTAGAGTTCTTTCAACATAGCCAGGGACACGTTCATGATAACACTGAATATGTGCATATTTTTTGAATTAGTATTTGTTGGTGTTTTGGGAATGGCTGAGGGGACGATGAGTGTAAATTTGCCTAGTTTCTGGATAATTCTTCCTTCCACTGGTCAGCAGAGCTTTGACATTCCTACACAAAGTTCTTCAGTCTCCAAGAAAGGAAGTCCACGCTTCTAGAAACTCAAGCCAGGCTGGGGTCCACCCTGGATCCAACCGACCACAAAATGTATCTAAAATTCTTTTGACTGTGCTGGATCTCTCTGATGTTGCAATCGGTTCTCTCCTGATTTTTCATTTACCTTGCCTGTTGAAATATCTGTGGGAGGAATCTGTGTTCCTCTTAGGGCAAATCCTGGAGGAGTAGCATGGAGTCAAACCCAAGCTATTTGATGATTTTCTCTTACTGAGAAACTTCACTCCTCTTTCAACGTTTCCACCTATATCATGGAGTGGGCTACCTTTAGCGAGAATTTTTAAAAAGTAGCAGTTGATCTTGTCTCCCACAGGATAAGGATGTGCAATGGTACACTGGGTTTCATCCCCGTCCTCCATTCTATCCACATGCACAATGATTTTTCCAAAGGCTTCTTAAGACCATTTACTGTTTTTTTTTGTTTTGTTTTTTTAAGATGGAGTTTTGTTCTTCTTGCCCAGGCTGGACAACAGTGGCGCGATCTCAGCTCACTGCAACCTCTGCCTCCTGGGTTCAAGTGATTCTCTTGTCTAAGCCTTCTGAGTGTCTGGGATTCAGGTGCCTGCCACCACACCAGCTA